TATAATTCAAGTTTAGGAACACACTCAGGATACAACTCTTCCATCTGCTGTGCCCTCAGACACTCTTCTCTGGCCCTTGGCCTCTTGTCCTGGCCTCTGCCTCTGTGGGCCAGCAAAGCCAGCCACTCTGTCTCGTGCCTCTTGGTTCCACTGCCACTGTTTCTCTGCCTGGGCATCTTTCTGCTGGGTGTCTCTTTGCAAGGGTGTCTCTCAGCCAAGGAGGCCCAGTGCAGGGATCTCAGGTCCAAGGTTGCACTCCACTTCACCTCCAGCTCTTCTCTCTTGATGGCAGTGAGATCCCCCTCTGACTTTTGGAGGGCTCATTTTAAACCTGGCAGAGTGACGAAACTAACTAATCTCAACATCAGAGTTCTACACACCTATTTACATGGTCCTATCCAGTAATCCTAGGAGCTCTGGTGGAGTAGTGCCTAAGGCACTTGACTGCTAACCAGAAGCCTGGAGGTTCAAACCCACCAGCCATTCCTCGGAAGGAAGACTGGGCAATCTACTTCCGTAGAGATACCACCTCGGAAACCCAAGAAGGGATCACTATGAGTTGGGATAGACTGGACGGCAGTGACTTTTTTTTTTAACCCAGTAATCCAATGGGAGTTACAAAGACTAGACTAGAAAAGCCATACCAAGTAATTCACTGCACTGCACTATGATTAAAAATCTGTTTTCTAAGATTGAAATGAGATATGGTAGTGGGGCTTCATACGGTGTCAGATATACACTCAAAAAATGTGTAAAAAACTTAATAAAATGAGAAAACATACCCATGATTAGAAGTCATTCCTCTCCTTATTAAGAATAACAAGAATAATAACCAAAACCCAAACCAAACTCACTGCTGTGGAGTCAATTTGACTCATAGAGACTCGTCCTTGGATTTCCAAGGCACAATATCTACAGAAGTAGCTAATATTTATTAAATGCTTAACTTTTTTAAAACTTCACAACTAAATGAAGTAATGGTTTTCATAATATAAAAGGTAATTTTTATAGTATTTCCCAAATGAGAAAATTGAGGCATATGAAAATGAAACAGCTTGTCCAAGATAGTAAGTGACTGAACTAAGTGAGACTGGAACCCAGGCAGTCGGATCCTCAGGCCTGTGCAATATCTACCTACTCTCTGCTGCCTCCTAACTTTGTTGGAGGACACGTGCCATGTAAAGGCACATACTTCAGAGATTTGTGGGCTCGGTTGCAGTTCACCACAAAAAAGTGAATATTGCAATAAAGTGAGTCATATGAATATTTGGTTTCCCAGTGCATATATAAGTTATGTTTATACTATACTGGAGGGAGCTCTGGTAGCACAGTGCCTAAGCACTTGACTGCTAACCAGAAAGCTGGCAATTCAAACCCACCAGCCACTCCTCGGAAGGAAGATGGGGCAATCTACTTCCATAGCGGTATTGCCTCAGAAACTCAAGAAGTGGTTGCTATGAGTCGGGGCCGACTCGACAACACATAACAACAACAACAACATACTATACTGGAGTCTATTATGTGCTTGATAACATTATGAAAAAATTTGAAATATTGTGAGAATTACTAAAATGTGACAAAGGGACATGAAGTGAGCATGTGCTGCTGGAGAAATGGCACCAAGAATTTGCTCAAAGTGGGGCTGCCAATTTTTAAGAAATGCAGTATCTGTGGAGTACAATAAAGTGAAGTGCAATAAAATGAGCTATGCCTGAAATCAACGTTGGTTGATTCTTGAGAAATTATTCTTTCAATTCTTTTGCTACATTTTCCTTTAAATTGGGATAAAAACATTTTAATCACACACACAAATACCATTTTTTCATATTTACCCAAGAGAGTTTTTTTAGAAGTACAAAAAATTAGACATTCCAGATAATGTTGAACTACAATTCTATTGTACTTCTAAATCCTCTTCCCCATCTTCCCTGCCCAGGGGTCTTCACTATCATGAATTGTCATATATCCCATTATTCCATGTTTTTATCATTCTTTTACTACATTTTTGTTGTTGTTGTTGTTATGTGCCATTGAGTCGAATCCAACTCATAGCCACCCCTCTTTGAGTTTCTGAGGCGGTATCACCATGGAGGTAGATTGCCCAACCTTCCTTCCAAAGAGTGGCTAGTGGGTTTGAACTGCCAGCCTTCTGGTTAGCATTCAAATGCCTCAGGCACTATGCTATGTTTTTTAGGATCCATAAATATGTACTGTTGCCTAGGGCAGGGAGATTTTTTCTTTTTTTAATTTTAAAACACCATCCTGTTATTTTTAAAATGACTGAAAAATCACAGGCCTAGATAAGGAGAAAAAATAAGATATATATTTTTGGATGAGAAGGAGTAATAGGCTTTCAATTGCCAAATAAAAGTTGCTCAGAATGGGCACAGGCTATTGTTGTTAGGTGCCGTCGAGTCATTTCCAACTCAAAGTGACCACATGTACAACATAATGAAACACTGTCTGGTCCCGCACCATCCTCAGAATAATTGCCATGCTTGAGCCCATCACTGCAGCCATTGTATGTCCATCCATCTCCTTGAGGGGCTTCTGCTTTTACACTGACCGTCTACTTTAGCAAGCAAGATATCCTCTCCAGGAACTGATCCCTTCTGACAACATGACCAAAGTACAAGATACCAAGTCGGGCATTCTCACTTCTAAGGAGCATTCCTGCTGTACTTCCTCCAATATATATTTGTTCATTCTTCTAGCCCTCCATGGTACACTCAATATTCTTTGCCAACAACACAATTCAAATGCATCAGTTCTTCAGTCCTCTTTGTTTACTGTCCTGCTCTCACACGCATATGGGGCTATTGAAAATACCATGATTTGGGTCAAGCATATCTTAGTCTTCAAAGGGCGTTGACCAATACAATATGTAATTTGGTTTCTTTCTTCTTCTTCTTTAAAAATACATTTTGTTGAAATATAATTTATGTACAATGAAATACACAAAACTAAAGTGACATTAGTTAATGCATTTCTTTTTTTTTTTTTTTTGCAGTGTTCCCTCTCTTCCCCTCCCATCCCTGGTAACCAACAAAGGAAGTTTCTTTCCATTTATAACCTTTCCTTGACTTTTTACAATAATGAACTAATACTATATTTGTCCTTTTGTGATTCACTTATTTCACTCAGCATAATGTCCTCCAACTTCATCCATGTGGTGTTTTGCAGATTCTACATTATTTTTTAGTTGCATAGTATTCCATTGTGTGTATGTACCATAGTTTGGTTATCCATTCTTCTGTTGATGGGCACCTAGATTGTTTTCATCTTTTTGCTATTGTAAATAGTGCTGTGATGAACATGGGTGTACATATATCTGTTCTTGTTCTGGCTCTCACTTCTTTAGTAAGATACATACCTAGATTGCTGGGTCAAATGGTATTTCTAATTACACCTTTCTAAGGAATCACCATACTGCTTTCCACAGTGGTTGTATTATTTTACAGCCCCACTAGCAGTCTATGATAGTCCCAATCTCTCCACATCCTCACCAGCATTTGTTATTTTCTGTCTTGTTGAACTTTGCCATTAGTGCTGGGGTGAGATGGTATCTCATTGTTGTTTTGATTTGCATCTCTCTGATGGCTAATGATCATGAACATTTCTTCACGTATTTGCTGGCCACCTGAATACCCTCTTTGGCGAAGTGTCTATTCATGTCTTCTGCCCATTTTTTAAATTGGATTGTTAATCTTTTTGTTGTTGAGGTGTTGGAGTTTCCTATAAATTTTAGAGATAAGTCCCTTATCAGATATGTCATTGCTGAATATTTTTTTCCCAATCTGTAGGTTCTCTTTTTACTCTTTTGGAGAAGTCTTTTGAAACACATAAAAATTTAATTATTAGAAGGTCCTATTCATCTAGTTTATCATCAGCTGTTCATACATTTTGGGTTATGCTTGACAGTCTACTTATGCCATAAATTTGGGCCCCTAAATTCACCCCTATTTTTTCTTTAAGGAACTTTATAGTTTTAGGTTTCACATTTAAGTCTTTATCCATATGAAATTAGTTTTTATGTATGGTGTGAGGTATACATCTTGGTTCATTTTTCTGCAATGGATATCCAGTTTTGCCAGCACCATTTGCTAAAGAGGTCACCTCTTGCCCATGTAATGGATTTCAGCCCTTTGTCAAAAATCAACTGACCATAGGTCAATGGATCTATTTCTGGGTTCTCAATTCTGTTCCACTATCTATCTGTCTTTTGTTGTACCAGTACCATGCTGTTTTGACTACTTTGGCTGTATAGTAGGTTTTGAGATCTGGGAGTGTGAGACCTCCTTCTTTGTTCTTCTTCTTTAATAATGCTTTGCTTATTCGAGGTCTCTTTCCTTTCCATATAAAATTAGTGATTGTTTTTTCCATATCCTTTAAGAATGCTGATGGTATCTAAATTGGGATTACACTGAATGTATACATTGCTTTGGGTAGTGCTGATATTTTCACAATGTTCAATCTTCCTATCCACAACCATGGTATGTTCTTCCATTAATGTAGATTTATGGTTTCTTGGAGTAGTGATTCATAGTTTTCTTTGTACAGGTCTTTTCTGTCCCTGGTAAGATTAATTCCCAAGTATTTTATTTTTTGGTAGCGACTGTAAATGGTATTGATTTGCTTATTTCCTTTTCTGCAATCTGTTTGCTGGTGTACAGGAATCCAACTGATTTCTGGATGTTGATCTTGTATCCC